CGAAGTAGTGGTTGCGACTTCGGCGATGATTTGTAAGAAAGGGTTTGCTCCCCACACCGGAGCTCGCGCTATTCCGCCGACTTTACTTGACACTTGACTGACTCACGACTGCCATCCAGAGCACACGAGAAGTCCATCGAACCTTCGACTCGGCAAACCTGCAAGAAAGCACCACTCCCTGCTCAATACACAGTGTTTCGGGGAATTCACCCCTCATCAGTTGAGCTTGAGTAGGCTGAGGAAGATTGTGCCTGAAGAGCACCACTTATATAGTGCTCTCCAGGTACAAACATCACCAGGGATACAAACTTACAGAGACGCTCCGCTTCCAGCGCGATAAACACCTCGTGAACACCAGATAGTAGCGCGAGTCAGTGTCGCTCCTGGACGGTGAGACCAGACGTTGAGGACCCTCGGTCATTCGCAACGCTGTCACCTCCAAACCAACTAGTCGCCAAACCAACTAGTCGCAAGCGCAAGCGCGGGCTTGCGACTAGTTGGTTTGGAGGTGACAGCGTTGCGAATGACCGAGGGTCCTCAACGTCTGGTCTCACCGTCCAGGAGCGACACTGACTCGCGCTGCTATCTGGTGTTCACGAGGTGTTTATCGTGCTGGAAGCGGAGCGTCTCTGTAAGTTTGTATCCCTGGTGATGTTTGTACCTGGAGAGCACTATATAAGTGGTGCTCTTCAGGCACAATCTTCCTCAGCCTACTCAAGCTCAACTGATGAGGGGTGAATTCCCCGAAACACTGTGTATTGAGCAGGGAGTGGTGCTTTCTTGCAGGTTTGCCGAGTCGAAGGTTCGATGGACTTTTCGTTTGCTCTGGATGGCAGTCGTGAGTCAGTCAAGTGTCAAGTAAAGTCGGCGGAATAGCGCGAGCTCCGGTGTGGGGAGCAAACCCTTTCTTACAAATAACAAGCGCTGATAAAACAGCGAGCTACGTCCTCAAATAGCAAACAATATACACCGGCAGATAGTAGAACACCTCTTCTAGCACTGAGGACATGTCCCCCATCATCCTTTTGGGGTTTTCTTGAAATAAACAATTTTGAATTTTTCCATTCGCCCATTCTGAAATACATCCAAACTCATACCTGCGCAGGAAAGCTCGCTTCTCAGCAACGCCTAGTCAGCAATTTCTACTCCAACACCACTCCCAACGTTGCAGATCAAAGTGTACTGTTGACTCTAACAAGGAAAAGCAGCGGTGATCACTTGTCACTCCAAACGACAAGCTTCTCCTTGCGCCACCAACATTTTTCGGTGCAACAGTTGATGCAAAAGTGACTGAATTTTTGCGTGTAGCTTTGGGATTTTACAGCAAGAGGAATGAAGAAATCACGTGGATCGTGACGTAGAATAATGCTTTCTGGTGCACGACACAATGCAAACGATCACGATCGTTCCTGAGGCGCTATTCGAACCGGAACATGAGGGAGGAGGTAAGATGCATTATATTTCTTGCATGCTCTGCTCAGAACATGCAGAAACTATCGTTATACCGCTAGCAGTACTGCATTGGCAAGAATTCTTTGAGATATTTCCTCTTGCAAAAGAACAGGGATGCATTTTTTCACACTAACCTCGCTCATCCCGAACATGGGTCAACAGGAACTACGGCTAGTTTACATATTTATATTTATTTATTTATATTTATTTATTTCACTCAACTCGTGGTTCATGACCAATTGGCACGCAAAGTGCGAGAGAGGGGTGATAGCCAACCACGGCAAGAAAAGAAAAGAAAAGAATATAGAAAAAGAGAAGAAAGAAGGATAGACAAGAATACAGCAATGAGATCCTATCGTACTACATTATGCGATCGGAGTGCATTTTTAAAGCTGGAAAGACATTTTGATGTCTTAACATGCTGGGGAAGTTGCAGCCAAAGGCTGTAGGACAAAAACAGAGGAGAGCTGGTAAATGCGGCTGAATTAGCACAGGGAAGTGAGAGACTATTACGAGTGGACCGGGACAGAGAAAACCAATTGAATACGGAGAGATGAATGGGAATTTTACCTAGGCGAATTCTGTGGATCAAAACGCAGAGCTGCTGTTTGCGATTATCTTGCAGTGGCTGAGTATTGCTGATACAATAGAGCTCAAGACTAGGAAATAAACGCTGCTTGTTAAACAATATTTTAAGAAGAGATTTATGTTGGATTTCAAGTTTGTTCACAAGATGTTGACTTAGACTACACCAAGACTGACATGCATACTGGAAAATAGGTAATAGATACGAGCGATAAAACATAGAACGGCATGTATTTGGCAAATGAGAACGATGAGGATATAGTATGCCGAGAACACTACTAGTTTTCTTGCAAATATAGTCTACATGAGGAGCCCATGTTAGACAGTCGTCAACAATTATACCAAGGTGCTTATGTTCATGGACAATTTCTATGGTCGATGAGCTGCCAGGACATGATAAAGACACATTGCAGAAATGATCACTAGCACCGCTACAGAAGAACATCTCTTTGGTCTTACTAGTGTTCGGTCTCAGCTTCCAAGTCGACATCCAAGAAATGGTGGAGTTTATCTTTTTCTGGAGGTCATTGACTAGCAATTGCTTGCAACTACTTGAAGCGGAAACTGTGGTGTCATCGGCGAACAGTGAAACATTAGGGACAGACATCGGTAGATCATTGACGTAGACTAAAAAAATAGTGGCCCCAGGATTGACCCCTGTGGCACACCAGAATTAATTGCCTGGGGAGACGAGAGGGTGTTGCCGACGCGTACAGCCTGTAGCCTGTCAGTTAGGTAGCTTTCAAAGAAACAAAGCAGGTTGCCACCAATGCCATAGGCACCCAACTTGGCAATCAGGCCTCTATGCCAAACAGTGTCAAAGGCTTTCGCCAGGTCAAAGAAGCACATGCCAGTATGTTCTTTCAAATGTCGGGACTGCATGATGTTTTGGATTAGGTGGACTAGGTGCAGAGCTGTGGAGTCCCCTCGCCGGAAACCAGACTGCATGGTATGCAAGTACGGGGACAAGTGTCGATATAGCTGATCGTACACAATGCGCTCAAACAGCTTTGAAATACAGCACAGTAGGGAAATGGGTCTGTAGTTCGTTGCATCCGACCGGCAGCCTTTGCGCTTATAAATTGGGACCACTAATGCGTATTTCCATGCGGAGGGAAAGATTCCAGACGACAGAGAGATGTTAAAGAGCAGCGATAACGGATATGCTAGGCTGTCTTGGAGGTGTTTCAGGATTTCGTTTGGTATACCATCGTAACCAGGAGACTTCTTATTGGGGAGACTGCGTATGTATCTGGTTACAGTACGGGATGAAATCGTCAGCGATGTAAACGTTGACTCTACAGGTATTTGGTGGATAGGAGGAACTAACCATTCAGGTCTATCCTTAACGCAGAAGCTGGTAAACTGCTCATTCAGAGCATCCGCGATATCAAGAGGCGCAGTGGCGGAACTTTGGTCAGACCGTGTGACTGCTGTTGGACTAGAGCCCAGTGACGATGCTGATTTACGAAGAGTTCTTATAAATGAGTGAAGTGATGGACGCTGGCTGTCGGTGAGAGAAGTAGTAATGGACTGGATGTATTCTTTATGGGCTACACGTGATAACGTTTTTGCTATATTCCGCTGACGTTTGTACTGCGTTGCATTGGACGGGGTAGGGTATTTTTTATAGATGCTGTAGAGGTCATGCTTTCTCTTAATGCCTGCCCTGAGCACTGGTGTCATCCATGGTGGATCCTGGCGTGAAGGGCGGCTTCGGTTTCTGGTGGTTGACTGGTGATCGCGGTGAGAAGAGCAGACTGAGAGAGACGATTCGAGGACAGACGAGAAGTTAGAAACGGCTGTATCAATATCAAGGCCGCATAAAAGGTCACTCCAGTGAGTTGCGGCAATTTCAGCATTGACGCCTTCCCATTGCGATTGAGTGAGCAAGTGATGGCTGAAGCGAGGCGGTGCAGTGTCAACATACACATACATGCTGATGATCCACGTAGATCTGCAACAGCAAAGAAGGGGCGTTGTCCATGCCATCAAGGTCGCTTGGAGTTGACCAGCGCGCGGCCAACACTGGTTGTATGCAGTATGTGGCGCGCCCACATGGCACATTTCTTACGTCATGAATAACGTGATTTGACCCTACTCGCCCTAGTCTGTGTGCTGAATGTTGAGGGAAAGTCCCGGCTGGAAGGCCTACAACACGACATGCGTGCTCTTGACTTGAGCTGGACATCAAGATGAACTTGATCCGATCTAGATCAACGGGTGATCCATGTAAGGGCCGGGTTCCACTGCGGCTCCGCGGCTCCGCTGCTCCGCGGCACTTGGCTGCATGCAGCGGAGCAGCGCGGTTCCACTGTCACTCGCCATTCGCGGTACCGCGGTCGTGGTCCACACTTTTTGATGACGTTTCACCTGCCTGCGCGCGCGAAATCAAACAAATCCTCGTGTTCTGGCCTGCGCAACGAATTAAAATTTGAATTTTAAAATTCTGGCGTACAAAACAATGCAAAGTACGGGAAACAGGTCGAGCCGCGACCGCGGCTCGCAGTTTTTGGTCAAGAATCGTAGCCTCCTTAAATAGGGCTTTCAAACGCAAGATCATAACGTGAAGCAACTTGGAAGAATGGGTATGAATGCGAAGTGTAGGGGGAATGCATGTAGGGCGATAGTGCGGGTTCGAATCCCAGGATATGCCTGAAAAGAAAATAGGAGAATTGAAAAATTTATAACATCCCTATGCTTTTTTTGTCGTCAGATACGGATAGCACCAGGCGTGACACAAACAAACAAACAAACAAACAAACAAACACACAAATACCAAATTAAAGCTGTGTGGACCCTGGCTAGCGCCAGACGTTACTGAAGTAACGTCTTCTGCATAGCTACGGGAATTAAAGCTGTGTGAACCCTGGCTAGCGCCAGACAATACTGAAGTAACGTCTTCTGCATAGCTACGGGAATTAAATGTGTGGACCCTGGCTTGCGCCAGACGTTACTGAAGTAACGTCTTCTGCATAGCTACGGGAATGAAATGCATTAATCATTGCAGCTCTACGGTGAGCTAACAGCAGCTTTACTTTGGGCTTGAAACAAGTTGTTTCGAGACCAACACTCCTCAATGACCCACAGATGCCTTTTTGTTGACTTGTTTGTGCGATTACAATCAAAATCAAGACATGAAAAACATTAGCGGGTCAGAAGGTAAAATACGCACATGCCACTGCATGTGCACACGTCATAATAGGAAGCAAAGAAACAGTATATAGTTGCTGAGTTCTTAACTCGTTATCAATGACATCAAACTAGGTTACAGGAAACTGTGCGGGACCAACTGTCAGCATAGTTCATGAATATAGGTAGATATTGATAGGAGATGGGCAGGAAATATTGCATATGGGCTGTCTATAATCTAAATGAGCTGCCCATGGGATAGCTCAACTAGACATTTTTTCCACTGCCAGTTAGTTCCTTGCCAGTGAGTTCGTTGCCATATCTAAGCATAGCGTCCACTAATTCCACCATCGTCCATTCCTTCTGATATTCCTGTCCTTGTGATGATGAAAGGAGAAAGGTTCCCAAACCATCGTAGAGATTGTGACGATTGGGGCGTCTGTACTGCGGCAAAAAACTCAATATGGCTTCGTGCACTGTGATAGCTGTGAAGTAATCGCCCGCCTCAGACGTACGTAGCCTTCCCAATACCAGCAGGCGGAAAACGGAATGATTGGGTACGAGTTCTCCAATCGCGTAAATCCATTCTCTGGTTACAAGCACTGGGTCGGAAAAATCTAGTAAATGTTGGTCATTCACATTATACAGAAGAGCCCATTCCATGTAAGGTTTATATGTCCATTCAAAAGGAACGTCCGTATAGACATCTAGGTCAACTAGCTCCAAGTATAAACATATTTTTGTGTCGCTCTTGGTTATGCCGTGAAGACTTTTTGCAAACTCTACAACCCTCAATGATCCATTCACAAATGGCAAGATGGCCTCCAGTCTCGGCATATCTTCATCCAAACGGTTAATGATGGCCTCTTGGTACTGTTCCAGCGGACCACAAATCTCGAGCAACAAATTCGATATATCTTCAATTCGGTACCTTCTGCTACCAATTGGACTATCTGGGTTGATAGGCGTGCATCTGTCCATGATTATAACGGGAGTTATGTTCGGTAAGGATAGAGAAGCCTCTTCAGGGTGCAAGTAAATCCCTTTTACAAGTGTATCACGTAAAGCAGCATTTGTCCAGCTCGGTTTGAGGCCAGCAATGGCGGGTGACATTAACGCCAGGCTCAATAATTGTACAAACGTGTTCAAAAAACTTCCCAACGCATTGGCTGGATCTTCGATGGAGAAAATAGTGGTCCTTTCATCATCGATGTAGAAATTAGTGGCCACTTTGTGAGCGATAAACATAAGTTTTGCAACTCGAATATATGGCACTTTCAAACGTGGACTGAGGTGATAGCGTTGCTGCAAACACGGGACAAAAAACAAGACAATGAACACTTACACTAATGTGGTGTTTGGTTTGGTTGGTTTTATTATTTCAGTTCGTTGCCTCAACAGTACAAAGTACAAATATCAAGAGGGACGAACGAAGATATATGTAAATGTTCTAACATGTAAAAGGGTTGCAACTTCAAATTTGGACTTCACGGAGAATTTCAAAGTTTTTCTTGCAAGTGTTGAGTTTCGGAGAGAAAAGAGCAGTACGTGGCATGTGGCCTTTCATTTTCCCAAAAATGTAAAAGGGTTCCTAGGAGAAAAATAGGTATATCTCCGAGTACTAACAAAAACTGCAGGCTCGGCAACAAACTTGTGAAATGGGATTCAAGAACAAACGTTCGTGCCTTTTTGTCTGGTGTTGTGGAGACCAGAGCAATCGTGTGCAAGTACAGTAGAGATGCATGATTGTGTCTGAGTATCCTGAATTTCGGGCTTTGTAACGGTATTCGGATCACTGTGTCTCTATACATTTTTACGTTTACAAAGTGCTAAGTTGTTGAATGTTTCAGAAGCTGTGTATATCCACACGAAGAAACAGACTCATGTGATATTTACACTTATTCTGATAGTTTGGTCGTCATTAGTACGTTGGTTAACTGCAGGGATGTTCTATTTTTGTCTATATGTTATAGCTTCTGTTGTTTAAAGCTCTTCCTCGTTGCTCTGTTTGATCATAATTCCCTCTTCTTGCTTTCGGGTGCTCTTGTATGTGTATCATTTGAAGAGAAGTATTGAAAGATTACTCCAGAAACCCAGTAAACTTTCACAATTCTCTTTAATTTTCAATCGGCTCTCAAAGGGCTAAGATCCTGAAGTTGTAGTACTACTCCGTGTAGTCATGCATGTTCGCATATAATGCTAAAAAATTAATGTTCTCATGAATTGTGGAAGTCTGTGACGATATGAAAAAGTAGTGAACAGCTGTAATCGTGAATATTAACTTGTTTCTGTTTTTTTGGGTTTTGGTTTTTTGGTTTTTTTTACTATGTCCACTATGCTCCCGAATGAATGCGGAAGGTTGTGGCGGGGCCCTGCTGCTCAGCCGGCCTTGGCGGTCTCGGCGTCTGCACAGACAAAGGGTGCCAAGAAAAATAGAGAAGGACAGTTTTTATTTTGTATTTGAATGAAGTTTAAGACACCACTGCAGCTGTATTTATGGTTGATAAATATGGCCAGGCGCGAACTGATGGTGGTGGTGGTGAGAAGGAGAGCTCTGTGCCAGAACTTTGCAGCTTAGAGAGCGTGTGTGGGCAGGCGTGTGTTTACCGCCATATTATGGATTCTCCGCAGGCCTTAGCCTACATCAAGGGAGTCTCCTGTGGAGGGATTAAAGTGATGAGATTGAAATACTTCAGAGTTCACTCACTGATTTTGCATTTCCAACAAGGAAGGTTGTTATCTCCATGACACACGGCAGATGGAGGACTTAGGGTCATGTCATGACTAGTCATGCGGAAGCATTTGCATCTTTAATAGCAATGTGAGGTAGAAATGTTTTCGAGAATTTGGTACATGTAAAGTAGACAGAGCGTGGGAAGACAAAGAACTCTACATGGACATTCATTTTGTTGTTCTGAAAGCAGGGAATCAACCAAGGCTAGAATGCAACTGCCTCAGAAAGAGGGACGATTTGGCGCGAAAATGAATCTCAAATCGACGTTGTTGACGCAGAAATTGAGCGAAAAATGCACATGCAATTCACACATCCACAGACTGAAATACCGACATAAAATACACATCCAAAACACGAATAGTTAGTACTCACCATACAAAGTTGTCTGAACGTGTACTCATTGAACAGCAACCGTTGCATGGATTTGCTGGCAGCACACAGCTGAAATACGTCTTGAATAGACAACATTGGCAACAAGACGTCTTGCCAGACATCAAAGTGAACACTTTCCAGTCCATTCACTGCTGATTCATGATCATCCATTGCCACGGTAGGCCTGTAGGACTGGTTTTTCCAATACTTGCTCTTTGTGACTAAGTGCACGCGACCAAAATAAACACAAAGAATATTATTGAGACATTAGAAATTTGCCAAGAAGAGACAGCTTGAATTTAGCAATGTGTGTGTAGGTTTACTCATTGCTCATCGATATATAGAAGAAAGACCTCCCGCTTTCTCTCTGCCTTGGCTTCACAGTACACTAATTCCCGAAATGATTTGTGCATCCTCGCAGGCTTGCACTGTGGCATTATCAGTGGACCTCTCGTGTGCACAGTATCTGTATGGCAGTCTCGAGTCAGTCAAGTGACAACTCAAGTCGGCCAGGAAAGAGTAAGCTGTCAAGAAGGAATCAGCACAGAATGTCGCTACCAGTGTTTTGAAACATGGGAATCTACAATTTTACACTAAACACAACATGAAGGGACATTAGAGATTCCATGGCGTCTACGTCCTACACGCTTACCTAACTGAGCGAAAGGAAAGTTGGTAACTGGTGATCTCGGGTGGCTACACACGTGTCTGCTGTACTAGGAGGAAGAAAACCGGATCTGACTGGATGCGTTGCAAAGAGTCTACTGTCTGTTCGAAAGCTGTACAGCTCTGCCTAATGCAAAGAGTTTACTGTCTGTTCGAAAGCTGTACAGCTCTGCCTAACTAGTATACCATAGTACAGTCATTTTCAAGTACTGTGTCATCAAAGTACCACTTGCATTTGTGTAAGTACAATGCAGTTGGTTGTGAGCGTTCATGACAAAAGGTCCCTACTCGTCTTCTGCTCTAGTGCATGTATCTTGTCATGTAACTCAGCTGGGCATCTGGCAGCCCACGCAACGGCAGCAACTGTGCCATCTCGAAAGTGAAGTACAAGTAGTTCAGCTTGGCTCAACGACTACGTTTGCGATGCCACAAGAGATTTGGCTTACGATTTGGACATATTCTATAAGTACATGTAAGTAGTACAAAAGTTCAAGAGCTGCCTGTTGTACGTTTTTGTACCATAGTACAGTCATGTACCAGTGTCGGCAGTCCATGCGATGAAGGATGTCTTCGATGATCCCGAAACAGTGTGCCACCTCTTCGTTGATGCCGATAACGGCTTCAACTCTGCTTGTTAGTCAAACTGCCACTCTATGGAACTGTTGTGTGCTTTGGTCTAGGTGTTCACCGTTTCTGTTTAAAGGGTAAGTCGGGTGAAAAATTTAAATTTCACAGCCCGTAGAGGTCGCGGCGATGAGTCGAATGGACTTTGTCCGAAGAGGCTGCGGCCTATGGTTCGTCAGATACGCCCAATCGAACATGTGCGAATTTGAGCGCGCATCATCCAGATCCAGGTGATGACGTCACATCGTGCAGCCAGGTAGCCACACCATCTAGTTGTGTACAAAACGGCCATATTCGGAGCGCGTTCGATTGGGGAACCGTTTGTCGCAGCTTCTTCGGACCAATACCATTCGATTTAGTGTCGTCCGGAAAGCCTCACGGAAGATCGGTGTACTGCGTCGATCTTTCCGCCAGATGAACCTGTTTGCCCGCCGTACTTTCGTTGTCGGTGTTATTCAGCCTGATCTAGAATATGCTCTCCCTGTATACCTTTCGTTTATATCCGCTAAAAATAGAAACAAGCTAGCCTCACTCCACCGGCGCGCTGTACGAGTTGCTTGTGGCGCATCACCCCAAGCTAATATCACGCCACTTCTTCACCACCTCAATGTTTCCTCTTTCCAATATCGATCAGTATTTTTGTTCCTTGTATTCATTTTCCACTGTTACTGTATTAAGCCGGCTGTTTGCTTGCAGTCCCTCTTTCCCATCTGTACGTCTACCCGAACTACTCGCGGCTCTACAACTCATAACATGAGTATCAATCGCTATAGATCTATGTCTGGCTTTCTGTCCTTTTCAAGTAAATCGGCTCTTGTTTGGAATTATTTACCAGACGACCTGAAGTCCTGCACTACTATCGCAGATTTCCGCGTCAAATTGGCTATTTGGCTAAAAGACAGCTTAACTCTTAATCATTGTTGTGATTTGCTTTCAAGCAATGTGCATAATCAGTAACTTGATGTTGCTGTTTTTGTTTTTTTTGTTTTTGTTTTTTGGTTTCCCGTTCTCGGGGCCTTCTATTCGGTACTCTTTGTAGTTGTACTTCTGTACTGTTGAGCTATCCGAATTCAAATAAACATTAAAAAAAATAAAAATAAAGTGTTACAAACACTACGTACCCTGTCCCAAATCGGGAGTCGGTTTATAACAGCGAGCCAAGCGGTTTCACTTCTTTTCTGTTTAGGCAGCGCTTCGGAGCTGTTGTGTGCCGTAGGAAAATTCTACGCTAACGTCCTTGAACAGGCCTGTTCTGAGTACAAACGAAATTCCTGGCTTTCGGCTTGATCCGCAATCATCGGGCCATTGACATGTTGAGCGTCCAAAACCTTGTTTGCTCGCTGGAACGGTCAGTCTGTGAAGATGCTAACTGTCAGCCTTGATCACATGCGGATCCAGCGGCAATGGCAAGCAAGGAATTATTTCGTTTGTACTCGGGAAAGTCCTGTCTACGGAAGTTAGTTAGCGTAGAAATGTTCTAGGGCACTTGACAGCTCCGGTGCGCCGACTGAAGCGGACTCAAGCGCAGCACCGAGCACTGCTCTCTTTACAGTTCATGTAAGTATCAAAAAGTGGTGAATATAAGTGGTGAATATGAGGTAAGTGGTGAATATAAGCGGTAAATATTCTGCAATATTCACCACTTATGTAGATGGCCAATTGTATGTGGGTGAATATGGAATGAGGTATAAAGGTAGATATTGATAGGAGTTGGGCAGGAAATATTGCATATGAGCTGTGTATAATATAAATTAGCTGGCCATGGGATAGGCCTTGGCGGATAATGCCGGCAGAAAAATTGGCAGAATTCGGTACTTTTTCTGGTACGTTTCATGCATGTTTGGTATGTGGATAAAGAAATTGAGCAGAATTCGAGGAATTGCCCGCCATAAGGTTTGTATGGTTCTGCTAATTTCGGTGCAAAAAAAGCAGAATCTGCCACCTTTTCGAGCATTATCCGCCAAGGCCTACCATGGGATAGCTCAACTCGACCTTTTTCCACTGCCAGTCAGTCCCTTGCCAGTGAGTTCGTTGCCATATCTAACCATAGCGTCTACCAATTCCACTTTCGTCCATTCCTTCTGATACTTCGGTCCTTGTGATGATGAAAGGAGAAAGGTTCCAAAACCACGGTAGAGATTGTGACGATCGGGGCGTCTGGACTGCGGTAAACGCCTTAATACGTCTTCGTGCTCTGTGATAGCTGTGAAGTAATCGCCCACCTCAGACGTACGTAGCCTTCCCATTATCAGCAGGCTGACAACGGAATGATTGGTTGCGAGTTCTCCAATCATGCTTATCCATATTCTGGTAACAAGCACTGGGTCGGAAAAATCGAGTTGGTCATTCACATCATCCAGAATAGCCCATTCCAAAAAAGGATTATATGTCCATTCATAAGGAGCGTCCGTATAGACATTTAATTCATCTAGTTCCAGGTATGAACATATTCTTGTGTCGCTCTTTGTCATGCCGTGAAGACCATTTGCAAGCTCTACAAGCCTTGATGATCGATTCACATATGGCAAGATGGCCTCCAGTCTGGGCATATCTTTTTCCAAATGTGTAATGATGGCCTCTTGGTACTGCTCCAGCGGACCACAAATCTCGAGCAACAAATTCGATATATCTTCAATTCGGTACCTTCTGCTGCCAGCTGGTCTCTCTGGGTTGATAGGTGTGCATCTGTCCATGATTATAATGGGAGATATGTTCGGAAAGGCCAGAGAAGCCTCTTCAGGGTACAAGTTAATCCCTTTTACAAGTGGATAACGTAAAGCAGCATTTGTCCAGCTCGGTTTGAGACCAGCAATGGCGGGTGACTTCAACGCCAGGCTCAATATTTGTACAAACGTTTTCAACATACATCCCAACGTATTGGCTGTATCGTTGAGTGTCCTTTCATCGTCGATGTAGAAAATAGTGGCCACTTTGTGAGCGATAAACATAAGTTTTGCAACTCGAATATATGGCACTTTCAAACGTGGACTGAGGTGATAGCGTTGCTGCAAGCACGGGACAAAAAACAAGACAATGAACACTTACACTAATATACATGTACATGTTCGTACATGTAAAAGGGTTTCTAGGAGAGAAAAAAGATAATATATATCGGAGTACTAGCACAAACTGCAGGCTCGGCAACAGCCTTGTGAAATGGGATACAAGAACAAACTTTCGTGCCTTTTCGTCTGGTTTGGGGAGACCAGAACAATCGTGTGCAAGTACAGTACAAATGCATGACTGTGTCCGAGCATCCTGAATGTCGAGCTTTGTAATGGTATTTTGATCATTGTGTCTCTATATATTTTGACGTTTACATAGTGCTAAGTTGTGGAATGTTTCAGAAGCTGTGTATATCAACACGAAAAAAACAGACTCGTGTGAAATTTGCACTTATTCTGATAGTTTGGTGGTCATAAGCACGTTGTTTAACTGCAGTTATGTTCTATTCTTGTCTATATTTTACAGCTACTGTTGTTTTTAGCTTCTCCTCGTTGCTCTGTTTCATTATAATTCCATGTTTTGCGTTCGAGTGCTCCTGTATGTCTATCACTTGAAGAGAAGTGTTGAAAGATTACTCCAGAAACCCAGTTAACTTTCACAATTCTGTTTAAGATCCTCAAGTTGTACTACTACTCCGTGTAGGCATGCATGTTCGGATCTAATGCTTAATGTTCTCATGAATTGTGGAAGTCTGTGACGATATGACAAAGTAGTGAACAGCTGTAATGGTGAATATTAACCTGCTTCCGTGTTTGTATTTGTTTTTGAATGAAGTTGAAGAAACCACTGCAGCTGTACTTATGGTTGGTAAATATGGCCAGGCGTGACCTGATGGTGGTGGTGATGAGAAGAAGAGCTCTGTGCCAGAACTTTGCAGCTTTTTAAAAAGAGCTTGTGTGGGCAGGCGTGTATTTACCGCCATATTGCCAGGTGTGTCTTAACCACCGTATTTATCAACCGTATTTGTATTTGTACTAATTTATGGATTCTCCGGAGGCCTACATCAAGGGAGTTTCCTGTGGAGGGATTAAAATGATGAGATTGAAATACTTCAGAGTTCACTTCCTGATTTTTCATGTTCAACAAAGAAGGTTGTTATCGCCATGACACACACGGCAGATGATGGACTTAGGGTCATGTCATGACTAGTCAGGCCGAAGCATTTGCATCTTTAAAAGCATTGCATTACCAACTGATACTCCTTGATCCCGAAAGAAAATGTGAGGTAGAAATGGTTTCGAGAATTTGGTACATGTAAAGTAGACAGAGCGTAGGAAGACAAAGACATGGACATTTGTCGTTATGAAAGTAAGGAATCAGCCAAGGCTAGATTGCAACTGCCTCAAAAATAGGGACGAAAATGAATCTTAAATCGACATTGTTGACGCAGAAATTGAGCCCAAAATACACATGCAATTCACACATCCTAAGACTCATATACCGACATAAATACACATCCAAAACACTTATAGTTAGTACTCACCATACAAAGTTGTCTGAACGTGTATTCATTGAGCAGCAACCGTTGCATGGATTTACTGA